CCATTGCACAATAGTAGAGACTAAAGGACAATGAAGGTGTGAATCCAAACATGAAGGGAATCACTGGTGATGGGTATGTGTGCAGAACCATGACATTTGTGTAAGGTAAGTGTCCGTAGTGATGTATTGTAGTAACTGCAGGGAGGCGGGTTACAGCCACTTGCTGTAAGCCGACTGCTTACCACAGATCACAGTACTTACCATAACGGGGTGTTGTGCCTTATGTACGCACCCCGGATTTGCTTCCGTCGTCAAACGTCTCGGCAGACGGGAACCAACACGACTCTCTCCCGACCATCCACACCCCTTCCGACATGCATATCCCTAGCTAGAGACTCTCTGCTGTTTAGTCACAAATCCATACCCTGTTCCTGTTCTGTTGTCCCCGTCCGAACTGAGTGGGTCCTGTCGCACCTCCGGCGACAGGCCTCCACTTTTTTTTGAACACGAACGTAAGCAGTGACTCGCTGTCCTGCCCCAACCACCCTCCGAAACGTACTGTGCCGAACACGACTGATAGGGTGGCTATAGCTATCCCTCGCTGCGCCGTGCTGTACCGAACGAACGAACTGTCTGAAACTGTCAGGGTCTCTCCCGTCACTCCCCCCGGGCGACCACCCAACACCGCTCCCATTCCGCCCCCTATGTCATCCACATACTCTCGCCGTACCCGTGCTTCTACGCACGCGCCGCCGAATGCGAATGCGAGCCAGCGTGGTAAGAAGACGCAGCGGCCAACCACCGCATCATCTTCCCCGCTTACACCGCCGCCGACCGGAGGGACATCCCCTGCGCGCACCCCAACCGTCAGTACCCCGCCGGTGACGTCAGGCGCGGAGGGACGCACCACTGAAGGACAACCACCTGTCGCTCCAGATCCAACGGTCCAGTCCGTAGATCGTCCCCTGTCACCACGTCCGAGAACCCCCGAGCCCGTAAATACGTGGACGCTGTCCGACTCTCCGTCCAGCTCTGAAGACAGCCCCCCGTCACGCACCATGACCTCCAATGCCAAACGGGTTTCCTCCGCTCTCGCCGTTGTGGACTGGGACAACCCGTCGAAAGCTCCAACTCTACAGGATGGTGCTCTGAATCCCGAAGTGTTGGACACCTTCGAAAACTACTGCTTACACTTCTTTGGCAACAAATCGGTTCCGCCCGCGGACCAGACACGTCTTGTGGCGGGACGAATCATGATTCCGCGTATCCTCGCATGGACCGCTGCGAGACGCGCGGAGTTATATGCTATGACCTTCGCCGAGTTCATGGCCGCCGTGCGGATGAACTTCCTCGACGCGCGTTGGGAGGAGACGACTCACCGAAAACTGAAGTTAATGCGGATGAAGGACAATGAGTTCTTTGAGGACTACTGCGTACGCTTCGAGAACATGAACGCGATCTTGAAAGGCACTCCGCATCATCTCGACGACGCCGCGATCATCGACCAACTGTCCGTTTCCGTCTCTGGCAACCTCGCCGCCCGTCTCCACACCCGCGCCGACGGCCTGAAGACAGCCAAGGCAGCTGGTCTCCGCGAATGGCGCACCGTCGTCCAAGCCATCGACGAAGAGCGTCGCGCTCAACTGGCCGATTTCGAGAACGTCAGTCGTAAGGGTCGCGAGGATCGGCGCCCTCAGGCGCTGGCCGAGCCCGCCCGCCGTTCGAACACCGCAAACAACAGCCGGGCCTCCAGTACCCGTCCTGACACGCCGACACTGCCGAAGCTGACCGCTGAGGAGGTCCGCCTGCTCGATGCCAACGAAGGTTGCCGCAAGTGCCGCCGCTTCTGGGTTGATCACCGGGCCAAGCAGTGCCCCAACGACTTCCCGAAGCCCGCGGGCTACCGCGCCCTCACCCAGACCGATGCCGATGCGGCCCGCAAGGGCAAGGGCAAGGCCATCGCCGCCGTGCAATCCGTTCAGTACGAGTCCGATGACGAGAACGATCAGCCGGAAGCGTCCGCATCGCGCCCGGTTGCTGTGGTGCGTGGCATGCACCAGGTCGTACCATATGCCGCGTCCGCTCTGGCCGACGACGAGGAGGACGATGAGTCGGCGGGGTCGGATGAGTCCCACTGGGTACGTCAATCTGTTCCGCCTTTGTCGGCTATTGCTGCAGTGTCGTCGTCTCGGGATAAGGATTTCCACTGTCCACACCTCCTCTGGAACGCCCTTGTCCACGAGACGACGTTGTCAGTGAATGCCACGCCGGTCGAATGCCTGATTGATAGTGGCTCTCATTTAGTGTTGATTTGCGAAGACGTCGTGCAACCTACTTGGCGTCGATACAAAATGCCCGTACCCGAAACCGTTGAATTGGCAATGGCGGCGCAAGGGCGAAAAGCTACTGTTACTCTCACGGAATACGTTAAAGTTCGTCTCTCGGGTCCCTCTCTCTCCTGGTCGTCTCGCTCCGTCCGCGCTGTTATCACTCCTGGACTCTGTGTTCCGGTAATCCTGGGCCTTCCTTTCCTCGTTCGTAATCAAATCGTGGTCGATCATGCTGCGCGTACCGTGTTGTCGCAGCTCTCTGGGTTTGAACTTCTGAAAGGTGTATACTATTGTCCGTTTACGTTACCACCCCCGCCGCCTCCCTCTGTACAACAAGTAGAAGCTGTCCTAGCAAATAAAAAGGCCGTTTTGGGGGAATTGCGGGACTCTTCTGCTGGCCGGCGTGCACGTGCAGACTCCAGCGTACCTGCGCCTATCAATGTTGTGGCAGCTGTCCGAGATACAATTGAACTGCTCGCAATGAAAGAGCAGCTACAACGCCGTGGAGCTGCAGTGCTGCGTGACTTCAAGGACATTTTCGAACCTATCCCGCACGCGGACATGCTTCCCTCAGACGTTTATTGCCGCATACAGCTGAAGGACGCAAGTAAACTCATTGCTTCGCGTACCTATGCGTCACCTCGGAAGTTCAAGGACGCTTGGTCTACACTGATACAACAGCACCTCGACGCCGGCAGGATCCGCCCGTCTAATTCGCAGCACGCCTCGCCGGCATTCCTCATCCCAAAGGCTGACCCTACCGCTCTGCCTCAATGGGTGAATGATTATCGCCAGCAGAATGCTAATACCGTGCCGGATAACTTTCCCTTACCGCGGGTTGACGATGTCCTGGCTGACTGCGGGAAGGGTAAAATCTGGAGCAAAATGGACATGACCAACGCTTTCTTTCAGACCCGGGTGCATCCCGATGATGTACCGTTGACAGCGGTTTCTACGCCTCTCGGGTTATATGAATGGCTTGTGATGCCCATGGGCTTGCGAAACGCACCTGCCATACATCAGCGGCGCGTCACAGCTGCTCTTAGACCCTTCCTGGGGAAATTTTGCCACATTTACCTTGATGATATTGTCATCTGGTCCGATAGTGTTGAGGAGCACGACCATCATGTCCGCCTCATTTTGCAGGCTCTTAAGGATGCACGGCTCTATGTCAACTTAAAGAAGTGCGAATTCTTCGTGACCGAGCTTGAATTCCTCGGCCACCACATTTCCACGAGAGGCCTCAGGCCTCAGAATGTAAAGACTGACCGCATTGTCCATTGGCCGCAACCTAAATGCGCAAAGGACGTGCGTGCGTTCCTTGGCTTGGTCCGTTACGTCGCAATGTTTCTCCCAAACCTTGCTGAGCACACCCGCATCCTTACGCCTTTGACAACCAAGGAAGCGAATGCATCCTTCCCTCCATGGAATGAAACGCACCAGCACGCTTTTGAAGCCATCAAACAGCTCGTAACCAGCTCCGACTGCCTCACCGTCATTGACCACCAGAACCATGGTGATAATAAGATTTTTGTCACCTGTGATGCTAGCGATTGGCGCACCGGCGCCACGCTCAGCTACGGCCCCAGTTGGGAAACCGTGAGGCCGGTTGCATTCGATTCTACGCAATTGAAGGGAGCGGAGCTGAACTATCCCGTTCACGAGAAGGAATTGCTGGCCATCATCCGAGCGTTGAAGAAGTGGCGTGCAGACTGCATTGGCGAACACGTTTATGTGTACACAGATCATTGTACACTACAGAATTTCGAAGGGCAGAAGGATCTGTCCCGCCGACAGCTGCGCTGGCAAGAATTCTTGTCCCAGTATGATGTTTCCATAGTCTACGTACCCAGCGAAGATAACACCGTCGCGGATGCTCTCTCCCGCGTGCCGCCTAACGCTTTCCCTGACGAAAAACTCCCAATGTCAATTAATGCGGTCATGACCGTCCAAGCGGACACCGCACTACTCGTGGATATCCGCGCCGGCTACGCCTCAGACAATTTCTGCGCTAAGGTAGCTGCTAATGTCGTGTCAACACCCGGTGCGCGTTGCGTGAACGGCCTCTGGTACATCGGTGACCGTCTCCTCGTGCCGCGTATTGGGAACGTGCGTGAACGCCTGTTTCAAACCGCGCATGACACGCTTGGTCATTTCGGTGCCGACAAATCCTATGGCTCATTGCGCAGCGCCTTCTACTGGCCGAACATGCGCCGCGACCTTGAGCGTGCATACATCCCTGCTTGCCGCGACTGTCAACGCAACAAGTCGCGCACAACCGCAGCCGCCGGTCCCCTGCACCCATTGCCAGTGCCGGAGGAGCGAGGAGCCTCGGTGACAATCGACTTTGTTGGACCGCTGCCTGAAGATGAGGGTCAGAATTGCCTAATGACAATCACTGACCGGCTACATTCGGACGTCCGCATCGTCCCCACGCGTACCGATGTGTCGGCCGAGGACGTTGCGCTCTTGTTCTTCAACCATTGGTATTGCAAGAACGGCCTCATGTTTGAGCTTATCACCGACCGGGATAAGCTCTTCGTGTCGCGTTTCTGGAAAGCCCTGCACAAACTGACAGGGGTTAAATTGAAGATGTCTACAGCATTTCATCCGCAGACGGATGGCGCCAGTGAGCGTACCAATAAGACCGTGACTCAATGCCTGCGTTACCACGTTCAGCGCAACCAGAGCGGTTGGGTCCGTGCCCTCCCCCGCGTCCGCTTTGACATCATGTCAGCTGTTAACGCGAGCACCGGTTATAGCAATTTTCAAATACGTTTTGGCCGCTCACCTCGTGTGCTCCCACCCATGGTCGATGCGGCACCTAGGGCAACTGCGGGCGCGGCAGAAACCGCTGAACAAGCAGCGGATCGGGTCATTCGTCAACTAACCGAAGACGTCGCCGATGCCCGTGACTGTCTCATCGCTGCGAAAGTTCACCAGGCCGCGTTTGCTAATCGCTCACGCGGCGAGGAAGTCCCGTACGCTGTCGGAGACAAAGTAATGTTAAGCACGTTAAACCGCCGCCGCCAATACAAGGCTACCGGCGAGCATCGCGCGGCTAAATTCTTCCCCCGCTGGGACGGACCGTACGCAGTCATCCGCGCATTCCCAGAAACTTCGACGTACGAGCTCGAGTTGCCGCCGACTTCCAAGGCGTACCCCGTCTTCCATGCGTCCGAGCTTAAACCCCACGTGGTTAACGACGCCACCCTGTTCCCTGACCGCCACCTACACCAGCCTGCACCTGTGTTGAATGACATCGGAGAAGAAGAATACTTCGTCGACCGTATCCTGGACCAGCGCACGTACCGCCGCCAGAAGCAGTTTCTGGTGCGTTGGAAAGGATACGGTGCCGAATACGACTCCTGGCTGCCGGCAACCGAGCTCGACGACAACATCGCGCTCGACGAGTGGGAGGCGCTCCAAGGTTCTTAGGGGGGGGTCAACCACGCGGTAGCTTTTTCCCCACGGGGTTTTTTGATGCACCCGTGCTGTGCACCCGTTGGGTTGGAAGGATTACCTTACACTACTATACTACCATCACATCTTCACCACTCCCCGGCTTGAATCTCCACCACCCGGGAGGGTGTAAGCCGACTGCTTACCACAGATCACAGTACTTACCATAACGGGGTGTTGTGCCTTATGTACACACCCCGGATTTGCTTCCGTTGTCGAACATCTCGGCAGACGGGAACCAACACGACTCTCTCCCGACCATCCACACCCCTTCCGACACGCATATCCCTAGCTAGAGACTCTCTGCTGTTTAGTCACAAATCCATACCCCGTTCCTGTTCTGTTGTCCCCGTCCGAACTGAGTGGGTCCTGTCGCACCTCCGGCGACAGGCCTCCACTTGCTAATGGAAAAACAATGTGGTTTCCTTCCATGAGCTCCAAGGCCATCTGCCTCAGGAACATGTATTTGTGACTTCCCCTAGTGAGCCAGTGTTCTCATTGAATCTCTACCCATCAATTCTTTTTTGATTTTGAGTGATGGCATGCACATTGGCATAAAGTACACAATGCTGAGTGACCCTTTATGCGGTGATATAGGCATAGGTTGGACAGAATAGGAATGTGGAGATGTATTCTGGTGGTAGTACCTATATAGTATTGATCCAACATGTAAGTATGCTTCATTTTGCCTGGTACAACACAAATAGCTGCTGGAATCCCTGTAGTGAAGTCAGTGATCACTCAATGGTTTTCATTGGATGCTACATAGAGGTGTTGCCACAACAAAAATGTGGGCAGCATGAAGTTGTTGACAAATTTCAACTTGTCAATATATGGCGTACCGTTTGAGGCAAAAACAATATGATCTATCACAATGTTAACCCGACTATCTATCACAGTATTGATTTCTATCACACACCTGTGAAGCTGTTTCTCCATCATACCATAGTTCGTTTTCTATCTAAACGTTGCTCGACAAGAAATCTATCTACATAACTTTCGTTCACTGCGTTTTCTATCACTCTTTTTCGGCTGCCGGTCCGGTCCGGCGCTAGCGCTCGGCGCGACGCGTCGCGCTCTGTCGCGCTGCTCTCGCGCCGACTTTCACCTCCTCCTCAACGGCGCGCAGCACGCACAGCGACACGACCTCACGAACACGCTCAACGCCGAGTGCGCGCCATCAACGAGGCCACGACGCGCTGGCGCAGTGGCGCACGGCTCTTGACTCGCACGGCCCGGGCAACCTCAACAGCGCGCAGCCCGCGCGGCGACCCGGCCGTACGAGCGCGCTCAACACCGAGTGCGCGCGAGCAGCGAGGCCACGACGCGCTGGCGCCACGACGCAGGACGCGTCGCGCTCTGGTGCGCTGCTCTCGACTCGCGCGACAACCTCAACAGCGCGCAGCCTGCGCAGCGACCCGGCCGTACGAGGGCGCTCAAAACCGAGTGCGCGCGAGCAGCAAGGCCACGACGCAGGACGCGTCGCGCTGCAGGAGGTCAAGGGCGCGAAAGGTGCGCGCACCCGCCATTTCTGCGCTCACTTCGTCCTAACACCTACCGATAGGGCGCCGAGTGCAGCCAGGGCGCAAGCAGCGAGGCCGCGCCGCGCTGGTGTGCGAGAGCTTGAGATCAAGGAGCATGAGATGCGACTTCTCGAGGAACAACTCAACGGTAGCAACGCAGCGAGGGTACGCCACATTTTCGCCTTGTTAGCGGACAATACTAAGCTGGTTCGCGCATACTAGGTCGGCGCTGAGGTTGAGAAGGTGAAGGCCAACACGCGCGCCCGATGCTGCTCCCCATCGGTAAGCACCCCCGCTCTGCGCTCGTCCTGCACTCGCCCGAGGCGCGCACCTCCTCTGCCAGCAAGACCTGCCCGCTCATCGTGCAACCACATCCCGGCTCGCTCCCCAGTAGCACCATTCCCTCCACCGCGTGCTTGCTACTGGCACAGGCAGCATCCCCGCCAACTCGCCGGGGTGTGCGCGGCTTGATTCACTACGCGTGGGTTCGCGTCCCTCCCTCCTCCTTCTCTTTTCCTTTCGTGTCATCGAGCTCATCCCACCAGAGCAGGTGAGCATTCTCAACGGGAGCGCGCCCGACCTCATCGCGGTGTGCAGCGCGCGCGGCGCCAAGATCAAGAAGCGGGGCGGGATCGAGCTCTTCCTCGGTGGTATCGGCGAGCACGGGCACATCGCCTTCATCGAGCCGGGTGCGCACCCTCCCACGTCCCCTCCCTCATTACCCATCTTCGCACATTCTCTCCCTCCCCTCCACAGGCTCCCCCGACCTCGCCTCGCGCGCGCGCATACGCGAGCACCCGCTTCTTCAACAATGGCGCCGCCGCTGCGCCGCGCATGGCGCTCACCGCCGGCGCCGCGACTGTGCTCGACGCGCGCGAGGTCACCACCGAGGAGCGGGGCCGCGAGCGGGCAGAGAGCCATCGGACCACGGCGGAGCTGCAGGAGCGGGACCGCAGGCGCGAAGAGCGCAAGCGCAGAGCGGCGAGGGCTAGGGACACTGCGCGTCATCGAGCTGAAGCCGGAATCGCCCCTTGCGACGCTGGAGCGGAGAGCACACCGCGATGCCGAGCGGGAGCGCGAACGCGAGCGCGATGAGCAGGCACGCGACAAGGAAAAGCGCAGACGGGAAACGGAGAAAGAGGCGATGGGGGCAGAAGTTGTGCGAGCTAGAGAGCGGGAGGAGAGGCGGCGCCGGCAGCAAAATTCAAGAAGGACGGCAACATTAGCCAGCCGGGTACCATGGATGCTTGGTGGGCCAGCAGGTGGCGCGCAGTTGTATACATACATACATACATACATTCGCCGAATGGCATTGATCCCAATGGATGCTACTTCAGCGCGCCCTGCGATGCGGCGCGACGCGCCTGGTGCGCCCCGCCATAGGTGGCATGGCTGAACGACGAGCATAAGCAGACTAGCCACGCAGTTCAGATGGGTGGTATCAGAGGTCCTGAGCTCAGCATGCCGCGCGGAAGGGCTGGCCGAGTGGCGATTACTGTAGGTCTCTCAGATCTCAGAGCCCGAGCGCGATCGATCGTCCCGACCACCACACACTGCGCTGCCATCGAGCAACTTTTGAGCGAGCTTCTTGCAAACGGATCGACAATGGGACGACACGCGTATAAGCGCAAGCGCAGGGAAGCCTACACTGCTCTCGTCAATGCAGCTGCTGAGAACCCAACTATGCTAGACCTGCTGGCTCATGCGGGTGATCCTCGCCCTCGCTTGTTATTCACAGCCTTCCTCTACTCTCAACTCGGAGTCCTTAAACTCGATGTGCCCTCAGGCGACTTGTACGCTGGGTTTATCGGGTGGTGCAAGAATTCACAGGTACCTGCTACACTTGAGCAGGCACTTGTCGCTCGCAAGCGCCATTGCGATGCGCAGAAGGAGATCAGGGAAGACCTCGTCGCGACGATGCGCCTGAAGAGGCTTGGGGAGGCCGAGAAGGCACTCTGGCTCTCTCAGAATGCCCGCGAAATCTACCTAGAGCGGCTCGCGCAGCCGTATCCAGAATACCACCGATGGGTCGCGGAGAGCCCTGCGATCATGCAGCGATGGCAATCGCGCATCAAGACAGGCAAGAAGGCTGACAAGCGGCACAAGCGGCACCCGCTCGTGCTTGAAGAGCCTTCGCGGCTTGCGCTTGTAGTGGAGGAGAACGAGAGCGTCGTCATCCGCGACAAGAAGTCGGGCGCGATCGTCATGGTAGTTATGCGGAACTTCTGCAACGACGACGAGGTTGTGCAGTACGCAGACGGAGTCACACAGGAGGCGACTGATATGAGAAAATCGGGCAGGGTGAGTCGATCAGTGATTTCATTTGGGCAATCCAATGACCTTGCATTGCAGCTGGAGGATCCAGGGAAGCTCGTTCTCCTCGGCTACACTGCAGGTGCTCGGAGCCACCCCAAGTTCGACTGGTCGAAGAATCTGCGGTCGACGCGGCATACCGCAGAGTTCATCAAAGAGCACAACTTTCATCTTTCCTCTGTCTTCGCACTCTTTTGGAACCTCCTTCTGTCGCATCTTCCTGACGAGGTGCTGGAGCCTTTTGAAACTTATCTGGCCGAGAATCAGATGTGCCGGATGGATGGCAATGGAGCAAAGGAGCGGAAGGCACAAGGTATCTATATGGTCGAGCGGGGTAGCGAGTGCGTTGAGTTCAACGACGCCGAACTGGCACCACCTTCAGGCGTCGCTGGTTGCAACTACGCTCGGCAAGTACCTCTACTATGTATTGCCTCCTTTTGTTGCTCACTCCGCTAGCAGGGCAATTCACCGGGAGAAGCAAGCCCAGAAATGGGCCTTCTCGTGGACGACGTCGCGCCGCGAGGGCATGACCGGAGGGAGCTTCTACGAGGCGATCTTCGGCATCAAGGTCTTGCAAGCACCTAACACCATGGTCGCTTGGATGCCTGAGCACGACCATGGTACGAGCCTGCTCGATTGGAGTCCCGACAAGAAGGACGATGTCCCGCCGTTTGCCCAGGCTGGCATTGCGCTGGTGACGAGCACCCGGCTCGCCAGCACATGGAAGAAGTACCTTGCTGAGCACGATTTTGAAGAAGCGGAGAGAGAGTGGGTTGCAAGCATGGAGGCTGATGTTGAGGAGAAGTGCGGGGACGAGCTTTGCACCTTCTGCCTGGATGATGGTTATGAATGTACCGATGATTTGTGCCCGATCTGTGTCCTTTAAAGCTGGCGAGATATATTGATACATACACGAGCATCCAAGCTCATTTGTGCAAACAGCTACTATAGACTCATACACAACTACAAGTCGGTGCACCACAAGCTGAGTGCGCTCACTGCACAACTGCGCCCCCCCTGTTGAGCTTCAGATTGCACCCGCCGAGTTCCGCGCCGCAGCCCGCGCCCATCGTAGCCAGCTTCGCAGCGCGATCTTTGCGCGCGCAGCACTTCGTAGCCCGCACCACCGCGCTGCGAGTGTGCCCTTGTACCCGCCAGCCGCATGCTCGCGCTCTTCCGTGTTGAGGTCGCCGCGCGAGTCGCGAGCAGCGCACCGAAGTGCGACGCGTCCGGCGGCGTTGTGCCAGCGTGGCGTGGCCTCGCTGCTTGCGCGCACTCGATGTTGAGCGCGTTCGTACGGTTGGGTCGCTGCGCGCCGTTGAAGTCGTCGTGCGAGACGAGAGCAGCGCGCCGAAGCGCGCCGAAGCACGGCGCGCCCGGCGACGTGGCCTCGCCGCTTGCGCGCACTCGATGCTGAGCGCGTTCGTACGGTCGGGTCGCTGCGCGCCGTTGAAGTCGCTGTGCGAGACGAGAGCAGCGCGCCGAAGCGCGGCGCGTCCGGCGTCGTGGCCTCGCTGCTTGCGCGCACTCGATGTTGAGCGCGTTCGTACGGTCGGGTCGCTGCGCGCCGTTGAAGTCGCCGCGCGTGGCAAGAGCAGCGCGCCGAAGCGCGGCGCGTCCGGCGACGTGGCCTCGCTGCTCGCGCGCACTTGCTGTTGAGCTCGCTCGTGCGGCGCTGGGTCGCTGCGCACTGTTGAGGCCGCCCGGGCCGTACAAGTCGAGAGCAGTGGGCCAGAGCGCGGCGCGCCGGGCGACGCTGCACCAGCACGACATGGCCTCGCTGCTCGCGCGCACTCGGTGTTGGGCGTGTTCGTGTGGTCGGGCCGCTGCGCGCTGTTAGGTCGTTGTGGAAGTCGGCGCGAGAGCAGTGCGCCGCCTTCTCTCTGAGGCTTTTGATATCGACATTTCTGAAGCCATACTGAGAGCCCGGCTTGCCAAAGGACCTGCAGCTTGTTAGTATTCTGCTGGCTCTACGTAACAGCTAACTTACTCGTGCTCCTCCGCTATCCAATCATATTGCTTCTCTAGGTTAGTGATGAAGTTCGTGGCGGCCGGCTTCTCTTTCGCCAGTGCCTGCCAGTCGTGCTCCAGCTTCTTCAGCTGCATATCGGCGTCTGAGATGGCTTGCTTCTTCTCCTTGATCACGCGCTCGAGCTCCTTAAGCTCGTTATCGAACCGCGACAAGGTGGCGTAGCGATGGGTGCAGCGATGGGTGAGGGCGAGGCGTTGGCTGATGGGAACGGCTACTCACCTCGTTGAGGCCCTGTCCTCCACTCTCTTCTTCCCTCCCTGCTCCTGGTGCCTCCTCACAACGCTTTGCGCAGTGTCGCGGGATCGCATCGCGGCCGCTTGAGGCGCGATGTTTCAGTGCGCGCGCCGGCTAGACGAAGAGGACGCGGTTGCGCGTCCTCTGTGCCACGTCACGGGCCGGCTCTTGCCAACGGGTCTGCGGGAGCTATTGTCGAAGGTGCGGGGGTGCCAGTGGGAGGGAGGGAGCGGCGGGATTGGCGGGAAGACAGCGGCAGAGGCGCATGGAGGTCAGATAGTGCAACGCGCGTTGCGCGCAAACGGCGAGCATCTAGCGCTGCGCTTAGTCACATGATTCCGCGTTCAACTTAGTCACGTGATTATGTTGGCCTGCCGACGCGCGTTTGCTGCCCTTTGCGGCTTGCCTCCCCCTCCTTCATCCTTCAGTGATGGCTCACGGGCAGCCTCGGTACCTTCTGGCGGTGGATTGCGTTGATGTTCGCGTTGGGGTAGGGCCCGGGTGGTCTCATCCGCAATCTGCCAATAGAGGACTCGCTGCCTGTCGCCTTGCTGCCTGCCGACACTGCTTCACCCACCTATCCATGCGCCGCGCACTCGTGCATACCTAGCCACTTTCCCACTCGTTCGGGCCACTCGTTCACGCCCACTTGTTTGCAAGGCCAGGGATGCTCTCGCCTACCCAGCCGCTCTCTGCGCCCCTTCCGCCTCGTCGTGCAGCCGCGCACCCGCTCCTGGGTGCCCACCTGCTCGCGCGATCTCTCGCGCCTCCACGGCCACCCTGCAGCCACCCGCGCGCAGGTCGCGCTACCATTCTCAAGGGTGGCGGCGCGGTTGCGGGCGCCGCCAGCGCCACCCTCGGCCCCAAGGGTGCGCCGACTAGGCCCGAGCTCGGTGCTTGCTGCTCAGTGTCTTCGCAGGCCGCAGCGCCATCCTCGAGCAGCCTTTTGGCCCAAAGATTGTAAAAGGTGCGCAGATACCTCCCTCCCCACCGGGCCTTACTCACCTGCTCCCAGATGGTTGTGCGGCCGCCCAGTAAGCACAGCTGCGTTTCTTGGCAGTCCCGCCGGCAGGCTTCAAGCATTGGGCGAGGAAGAAGCAGCTCACCGCCGCCCGAACGCGCCGAGCGCGCGGCTCACGGCTCGGCGCTCGCAAGCCCTCGCGCCGATGCTCCCCTGCTGCCCCTCCCTCGCCCGGGTGGCCACTCCTCGCGCCAAACCCTGCCATCTGCCCACCTGTTCGCGCGCCTGCGCTATCCCCGCTCTCGGCGCAGCCCATTCGCCCGCTGCCTCGCCCACCCTTGGCCAGCGCCCTCCCTCCCCTTCCTTTGCGGCCCGGAGCTCCTTCCCGGGCGCAGCGCAGCGCGGCCCTCCGAAACCGGCGCTCTCCGCGCTACTGAGCCTGCACTTCTTGCTGCTGCTGCGCGGCAAGGAGCCCGAGCAGCGGGGCGCTGCCTTGCTCAGCCTGCTCGCCTCACCTGCGGGCTGCCCGCGCAGGTGGAAGGGCAGCGCCGCAACTCCCGCGAGCAGTCGCGGGTTATGCGGCATCGAGCATTCCGCCGAGCCCGGCGCGGGCGCATTTCGACCAGGCAAGAGCATGCGGTCCAGCGAGCCTGGGGCGCAGCGACCAGGGCGCGCGCGGATTGCTTTGTGTTTAGCAGATGTAATGGACTGGAGGGTTATGGGAGCTGCGCGATCACTACTGTTAGTCTTAAGAGCTTCGTTCAGCCAACCAGATGGCCGCGGGACTTGCTGTGCCGAATGAGCTTGCGAACTGCGCTGGCTTCAACGCTAGTGCTGCGCTAAACACCGCAGCGGGTCCAAAACAATCGTAAACAGGGCTAGGTCGGGCCAGCTCCTGTGCTTGCTACCGATCACTGTACTATGCTCTATGCCTGCCATTCCTAGCCTCCCAGTTCCCTCGCATGGTGAACCGCCACAATGGTCGAGCAACATCTACGCTGCCCACACTCGGGTATCTCATGTCTGTAGCCACATCTCAGGCCTCTTGCAACAAGACGAAGGCGATCGTATTCGCTTGGTTCTATGCCTGGAAACTCTCGATCAGCAAATCGTACCACTGGTGAGGCAGATGGCCCCAGAGCTTCACGGTGGAGGAGCATGGTCATGGGTGGAGGCTGTATGCATTGAGATCGGCGAGATGAGGGCGAGTCTTAGGGTGGCGATTGATGCAGACACTGAGCGGTGGGCCACTAAAGTGCTCTTCCCTTTCGTATGTGCGCTCATGGCTACCTATAGAGAGCATCGGAGTGTGGTCAAGGTCAATCCGGTCACCGTTGAGCGGTCTGGAAGGCGCGGTCGGCCAAAAAAGGTCATCAGCAAGGCATGGCTGGAAGAGACCTTCGCTCCGTACCGCAAGATCTCGATTCAGCAAGCTGCTGCTGCTCTTTGCGTCGATCGGAGTACAGTCACTCGATACATGAAGGCTTACAACATTACCACTGCGTATGCTCCTCTCCGCGATGAGCAGATTGACCAGCTAGTTCGCGCATTCAAAGTCGAGCGGCCAAATGCTGGTATTCGCCACGTCCATTCCTATTTCCGAGCGAACTGGTTGCGAGTTCAGAGGAGCCGCATCATTGATTCCCTCCATCGGGTTGATGCGATAGGTGCGGCTCTGCGGCAGAGCAAGACTATCGTGCGGCGAGTCTACTCTGTCCCTCGCCCTAACCATCTGTGGCACATTGATGGCCACCACAAGCTGATACGATGGGGGATGGTCGTTCATGGTGGTATTGACGGCTACGATGATCAGGTTCGCCCTTTGTGTAACTGGGCTAGGCACTCTGCTGATTACCTATACCCAGGTGGTAGCGATGCGAGTCGCGAACAACAACTATCCCGAGACTGTACTGCGCAATTTCTCGCGAGCCGAGAAGATCCATGGGCTGCCACTCAGGGTTCGCGGCGACCGCGGTGGCGAGAACATCTTGGTCTCATCGTACATGATCGTTCGGCGAGGCCCAAACCGGGCGTCTTTCATGTTTGGATCGTAAGTCCAGTTCATGCTGAGTAGCCAGGCTTTACTGAGCCTGCGCGCAGGTCGACGCGAAATCAGAAGATTGAAAGGATATGGGTCGATGTCGGTGAAGGTTTCGTGCGCCGCTGGCGCGTTTTTTTCACCCGACTTGAAGGCCTTCATTCGCTTGATCCCTCAAACCCAGCACACCTATGGCTGCTGCAAAGGCTCTTTCTCGATGAGATCCAAGCCGACGCTGATAAATGGGTCCATCACTGGAACACCCATAGTGTCTCGGGAAAGCACCAAAACCAAACACCGTCGGTGCGCCTGCTGCAGCATAGAGGCGACAAACCTACTAACAGTATTGGCCAGGACATTCGCCACTTAGCAAAAGTCACTGTGGGCATGTACGAGGATGAGTATGCAGACACCGACCCCGACATCCTCTCAGAGCACTTCGGTGTTCAAGGTCCCCCAACGCTGCGTCGGCGAGGCCAGACAGGTGCAGGGCATTCAGAGGATACCGACGACGAAGATGCACCAATGGAAGACGATTCAGATGGTGAGGCTGAGTATGACTCTGACGATGCCGATGAAACATTAGATGCTAGTGGGGCATGGGCTGAAGAGGGTGCCGACTCAGGCAGTGACAGCGAATCGGATGGTAGGCCCAGCAGTTCATTTCTTCTCGCTGAGAATAGATGGTCTAATAAGGAGAATACAGGGAACTCTGATACTGGCGACGATGGTTTAGTCGCCAAGATCATCGCCGACCAGCAGACAAACATTCGCCATGCTGCAATCAAGGTCGCCCGACACAAGAACCCTTTTGCGACAGAGGAAGGGGAGGAGGGCTTCTGGGCGACCTTGGACCAGCTCGTGGATGTCGACTACCTCCCTCAAGGGATGAACATCTGCGAGGATGAGTGGGACGAGGAGGGATACCCCACCCATGAGCTCCTCATCGTTGGCAAGGGCAAGGAGCCTCTTCGTGTGGAGCTACCACAGCAGTTGTGGCTCCCACGAGCACAGGCCTGGTGCAGAGCCATCTCAGTTCTCACTCGTATTCTCGATTGGGCAGAGACTCCAAGCCAATCTGGCAGCAGCGACGAGTCTGCTTCGGACTTTGAGGGTACGGACGAAGAATAATCATTGTAGCTTTGATTCGTTGCATTGCTTACCTGCCGATTTCTTGTTCTTTTCCCATTTGGACTCGCCCATCTGCTGCTGATCGTTCACTTGGTTGCTGTTGCTTGCCTAGTTGTTCTGCTTTCCTGGTCGCTGCAGCTCACCTGGCTGTTGTTGTTATTTGGCCGATTTATGCCTTTCCCTGGTTTCCTGGCTTTCCCAATCTACGATGAATGCAAACAGTACTCCAGTGCCGACGCCTGTGCTGGCCCTAGATGATATAGCCTTGTACATGGAAGGTACTCGCCTTGAGGTAGCTCCCCGATTGCCGATATGAGGAACGTGCCACTGGCTTGCCGAGGTGAGTATATATTACAGAGATCATCGCACCTGCCACCTCACCCTTCTCGCTTTTCCTCCCTGACAGCCTCCATGGCGAGCTCCTCGTCGAAGCGACACAAGAGGAAGGCCTCGCCACCTCCAGTCGATACAGACAAGCTCATCGACGACCTCATCAACCAGCAGCCAAAGCGACCTCGGTACTCCAAGTCTGCAAAACCGAGTCGCCCCAAGGTATCCCTAAATGCTGCACGACTTGAGACCAACAAGGGCTTGCGAGCGAAGGGGAAGGAGGTTGCCAAGGGCAAGGCTGGGTCATCAGGGACGAAGGTATGGCTTGTTAACATTTGTCGCCATGAGTATGTCTCATCGAGCTTCAGGCGAAGGCCTCGTCGCCACCCCCTGCCCAAGTAATTCATCACAGTACCCTCATTCTGTCTCGGTCGCATGCTGATCCAAGGCTAGGTCTCCTTGTCAGCGAATGCAAAACCCTACAGGGTCGGAAGGGTCGCTCTACTACCATATGGGCTTGATGTTCGTCCAACCTCTATGTTTATGATCTCTCACATGCCCTCATTGCATACTTCTTTACAGGACAGTGGCGACATTCAACAGGCGACCCACTCGAAGGACATCTTCTTGACTCTCATGGACTATCGCCTCGCCACCTCCTTAACTCCCGATGGCAGGTACATTCTCATCTCGCCTGGGATGGATCGGAACGACATCGACGCCCTATTGAAGCAACTCTTCCCTTTGTACTTCGAATGGGCAGCTTCGGAGGGATATGACTCTGCAGGTTCCGAGTTCCTCTGGAGGGTTGTAGGGAAGCAGGGTCGGCAGCTTCGGGTCATGTTTCGGGATGAGAGCATGCCAATCGCCTTCCCAGCCCTGTGCAATGCTGTCCATTATCGGACGACAGGCTGGACTGACCGAACTTGGTGTTTCGGTATGCTTCCTTTCCTTCCATGATTGCCTAGCCTGAGCACTGACGAGTCGCACAGTGTCCACGATGCACATTCCAAAAGATGTTTGGGAGTCGTGGGCTGGTAAAGGCAAGGGCAAGGGTGTTGACCTCGGCTACGACGATTCCTCAGATGAATCTGTTCACCTGAAGGTATGTTTCGCATACTGTTGCGATAGGCAGACTGGGACTTACAAAAGTTGGGTGTGAAGCAGGTTGAAGGCTCTGAAGAGGGCGATGTCGCTGCCCAAGATGAGGAGCTAGGTACCAAGTCGGAAGATGATGGTGAGTATCTCCAGTATTTGGAGTCTCTGTAGTGCTCTGACAAGTAGGTTCCTCACCCGATCTCAGCTTCAGCTGATGGATCGCCAGCATCTGGCAATGATACCGATGTGTCGGAGTGGCAGCCTGAGCCCCTTGCTCAGAAGAAGAAGACCAGTCGTACGTCACGACAAGCTTGACTATGCCTGCTCGAGTTCTTACTATGTCCCCGAGGGATACTAGGAAAGCTTGCGAGGGCTGTCGACGCACTCGATAGTAGCTTCTCCAGCTTCAGCCTGGTGGGCGAGGCGACAGCAACCTTGGCTAGTGGTAAGCTTTCTGCCTCCTATTGCAGGGTTTCCCTGTGTTGCCTTGTCCCCGACTGACCTAGTGGTATTTCCTCAGGCTCAGGCAGCTCGAGCACTGCAGGTGTATCTGGAAACCCAATCGCCGTTGACCCAGCATCTGAAGATCTCGATAACACTGGCCCAGCACCGAGCCCCAGCTTTGTTGAAGCTCCATACACTCAGAGGAGTTTGACGCCACCTCGAGTCACTCGCTCTGCTACTCTTCCGATTGTCACCATGCCGAAGGGTAGCATTGCTGCTGATCCTTGGGCCTAGTCGTCGGCAGGCCAAGCAAGGTGAGTGATGGCTGATGTTGCAACGAAGCAAGGCTCAGCAAGCCACCTCGCAGATTCATCCAACGGTACACCCTTTGAAGTTCGCCTACAAACCTCTAATCGAGTCGCTCTGCAGTGGGCATTTACTGTACGACGACAGCCTGGATACTTGTCTCTCTTTAATCCTCTTCATATTCTCGTATCTTGACATAGTCCGACCTCATCTAGTCTCGCTCATGTTCATCCACCACAATCACTCCCATATGCCGACCTAATATCCGAGTCGTCCTAGGTAGAGTACTTAGTACTGTGATTTAATCGGGCATACATGTCTGCAAAACAATGGACAACTTCACTGAGTTAGTGCTCGCTCCCTTGCCTCCCTGAGCACTCTGTCCCTCGGACTCGGACCACTTCATCGCAGGCACCTGCCACTCGCTAAAAGGCCTTGTCGGCAGTCGCCGACGACAAGTTCGAGTGCCCTGACCTTGCAGCTTGTCCTGCCACCTCATCCACATCGACAGCCATTGCGACTATCTGTTCTGCTCCCCATGGCATCCCAGCCTGGGGAATTCACGATGTCGTCTGGGCTTGCTCTCTTACCTGCTACACAGCTAGGGTTGCAGCAAGGCAACGGCGATGGTTCTGATGCAGCAATGATCACCCAGGGTGGAGATATGGTATGTATCGTCCTATCGAGCGAGAAGCTGCCTGTTTACTAGTACACTGATTCTATGGCTTCATAAGGTCACAGTCAAGTTGAACACCGAGATGCAGCTTCGCATGACACGCTCAACTCGGTTCTGGAACCCTGATGGTACATTGTTCATCGGTGTAAGTACTGATTCTCTGTCACTATCACTATTTGTCAATGACTCGTCAACCATTGCTGTAGGTCGGGAGGATACTGTATCGGATCTATGCAGGCCATCTGGCGAATAACTCCCCTGTCTTCAACAATTTGTTCCACGTGCCTGGGGCTGGTATGGCGAGCCCTCGCCCAATCGAAGGGACAGTGGAGACATGCCCGCTGTACCTCTGGAACATCGAGAATCTAGCCTTTGAAGCCCTCGCTGACTATCTCGGTTGTGCTACTCTGTACGTCGTGCTGTGCAATCATGTTTGCGCGAATGATGACTGACTGGCAAGTCGGTGGAACAGCCCCGACGGAGAGTCACTGAGTCTGTTTAGACCATCTGTACAGCAACTTATTGGCCTTCTCAAGCTTGCGACTATGTGGGATATGACTCGCGCGAGGAGTTACGCCATCGACAAGCTCAATTGCACCCCGCTTGTTGGCGATCCAGAATGGGGCCCGATTGCGAAGATCGCTTGTTGCCTTGCATACGGGATTGATTCCTGGCTTGTCCCTGGTCTCCGCGCTGCTGTTCAGCTTTCACCGATTGGGTGGGATACAGCTCACTTCGCTTACTTCAAGTCGGCTCTCGATGCGAACGAGGTCAATGTGCTATGTCGCCGCATCGATCGCCACCGGAAGGCCCTCGCATGGAACCCTCCGACATACACTGCAGGGCTGAGCTGTCCTGCACAAGCACAGTGTAATGCGAAGTGGGCAGCTACCTGGCATCAAGCTCTTGCTGGCAAGCTACTTCATCCAGATGACCCGATGTCCGACCATGAGCTTCTCGAGTTCATCGACAACGCACCGACACGCGAGACAGGCCTTTGCTATGTGTGCCACATTCGCACGTTGCTCATGATGAAGGCGAATCCTGAATGGTCTCGAGAAGAGGAGATCATCCAGAGTACTGCAGAGCGCATCAAGCGCAACCATGTCTTCTACACCTCATAGAGCTCGGTAAGTCGCTTCGCAGGGTGCCTCCATAGAATCACTTATATCTCGCTGCTTGCAGGTGACGATCGCAGTAGCATGTTACTATCCGAATTGCACAAGTGGATGAGAACATGTCGTAACGAGGAATGATCATTGATTGACTGTTTACTCTGAGCGACCTCCTGATGTTGATGTAGCAACAACTCAACCAACTCACACCATTCCTCTACAGCCCGACCCTTCATCAACTCGGCTCCACACCTCCACCACCTTTGCCACCCTCTACCTGCTCCAACGACTATAAGCCCGATTCCCCACCACTTCAAGTTGCGGTTCGTCAGGCCACCACCTTTTCATCTCCGCCTTCATGATCGCCTCCAGTCATCTGCAACAATACTCACTCAAACAAGTCCTGGAGCATCGTCAGCCAAGGCATGTTCGCCCTCCACGAAGTCAGCCAGATGGAGCGCGAGATGTGTTCGTACCTAGAGTGGCAGCTCAACATCGAGCCGGGAACGTTGAAGGAGTTCAAGGCAAATGTACAGAGGGATTTCAAGGGCCAGGGGCCATACCCAGTGTACGCCCTCCCCACCCCTGCGCCGACACAACTTCCACCAATGACCCTGCACAGTGCCACATCAACAACCACACCAAGCTTCGCTGCACGTCCGCCGATGCCGCGCACCCGTGCACATCGACACTACCCCAGTGTACCCCACCGAGCCCGCCGACAAGCCCCGACGCGCCCGGCACTCCCGAGCAGCCGTACTCGACCTCGACAACTTGTCCGGCGCCGTCCGCATCGCCATCGACGCCAACATCCGCATCGCCTTGCATAGCATCCATGGCACGCCGGGACTGCGGCGAACGGGTGGCACACTGGTAGGCGTGCTCTTACTACACTATCCATGGTCTCCGTACAGCGCGCGCCGCCCTATCTGCGACGAGCGCGGCTCGCTCCGACAGCGGAACACGCACCTCGCGAACTCCCGTGCAAAGGCCTTGCCAATGGGCTTGGACTGCCGAAGTTGCGCAACATGGCCTCGCACCCCTCGGTTCCTTCGGTGTTGACCGCGTTCATACGGCCGGGCCGCTGTGCGGGCTGCGCGCCGCCAGGTCGCGTCTTCTGGTGCTGCTAGCTGAACTGACGGAAGTTCAGCTAGGCAGTCGTGCACTCGAGCTTGCCCATCCATTGGGACAGCGCGCGCACCGGCTCGCCAGATGGGTGCTCGTGACCGTGGTGGCTGCCCAATGAGTGGTCTTCGTGTCCTACAGGGCGCATGAGCGCAGGGAGCGGCGGCGATGGGGTAGGTATGCCTGGCAAGGGCGTACCTTTGGTCTTCGAGCTTTCACACTCATTACCTCTACCCTCGCCATTGCCTCTCTCTTCCATCTCCTTCGTCGCATCTCCTTGTCTCGCAGCTCTGCGCTCCGCCCTCCTGAATGTCGGCGCGAATCTCTCGCCGAGTCGTGGTGGTGGCGGTCCAGTGCATCGCGGTGGGGACTTGCGCCAGGGCCGCCGAAGCGCGATGTAGCCTCGCTGCTCGCGCTCTCGGTGCACTCGGTGTTGAGCGCGCTTGTACGGCCGGGTCGCTGCGCGGGCTGCCCGCTGTTGAGGCCGTCGTGCGGGTCGAGAGTGTTGAGGTTGTCGTGCGAGTCGAGAGCAGCGCGCCAGAGCGCGACGCGCCCCGCGACCTTGCACGACGTGACCTCGCTGTTCGCATGCACTCGGTGTTGAGCGCGCTCGTATGGCCAGGTCGCTGCGCGGGCTGCGCGCTGTTGAGGTCGTCGTGCGAGTCGAGAGCAACGCGCCGGAGCGCGATACGTCCGGCGACGCTGTGCCCTGTTGAGGTCGCCGTACGTACGAGTCGAGAGCAGTGCGCCAGAGCGGCGCGGCCTCGCTGCTTGCGCCCTGGCTGCACTCGGCGCCCTATCGGTAGGTGTTAGGACGAAGTGAGCGCAGAAATGGCGGGTGCACGCACCTTTCGCGCCCTTGACCTCCTGCAGCGCGACGCGTCCTGCGTCGTGGCGCCAGCGCGTCGTGGCCTCGCTGCTCGCGCGCACTCGGTGTTGAGCGCGCTCGTACGGCCGGGTCGCCGCGCGGGCTGCGCGCTGTTGAGGTCGCCCGGGCCGTGCGAGTCAAGAGCCGTGCGCCACTGCGCCAGCGCGTCGTGGCCTCGTTGATGGCGCGCACTCGGCGTTGAGCATGTTCGTGAGGTCGTGTCGCTGTGCGTGCTGCGCGCCGTTGAGGAGGAGGTGAAAGTCGGCGCGACAGAGCGCGACGCGTCGCGCCGAGCGCTGGCGCCGGACCGGACCGGCAGCCGAAAAAGAGTGATAGATATTGCGCCGACCGAAAGTTAGATAGATTTCTTGTCGAGCAACGTTTAGATAGAAAACGAACTATGGTATGATAGAGAAACAGCTTCACAGGTGTGTGATAGAAATCAATACTGTGATAGATAGTCGGGTTAACATTGTGATAGATCGTCTTATTTTTGCCTCAAACGGTACGCCATATCAATATGGGTACAGCACTATATAGCCATTGTCAGTCATTTCAACCAATAATTTACAAGACATTACATGAGCAGCACTGTAGTAGTCAGCTTGAATATTGGATTGGGCAGCAAACACAGTCATATGACTTGCAAAGAAGCTGTCACTGTTGTGAAGCAACACCACAACAATTGTCAAGCATGCCCCAATTTTGTAATGATTATTGAGCTCAGATCAAATAGCAAACCACCAACTCACAGGGAAATCCTTCTGCCCAATATAGTAGCCAGATACTTTGATGGAATGTCTGTGAGTATTTTATTTGGTTGTATGAATCAGATAAGTGGGAGAGAAACCAAATTTAGTCGGAAGTCCCTCGAGCTACATGGTAAAGTGATACCCAAGATCAGATCTATGATATGACACATACCATTGTGGATTTTTGGGGTATTTTTGATTTTATCATGGCCATGGAAGAGCAGTAACACTCAAAAGGGCAGTTTTGACCAAAAGTAGCAGTATGCTAAGGGAGTGTCATTGCTATCCTGCATAGATATTATCTAAGGAACCTCATGAACTGTATGTCTAATGAAAGTTGCCCTGGATCCAATCTCCCAGTTTTGCATTTTGATTCAGCAGTCCAGCAATGATACAACTTCACTATCCACTGGGTCTAAAAATGTGGATATGCTGTGTTATTTATTTGAATCATTTGCACAAAGTAAAGAAAACCATGACAACTTGTGCACTTTTTGTTTTGCATATTGTGGCATGAGTAATGGACACTACAGCAAACTGATACCCATTATAGAGTCTATAGTATGAGGACTACTAGCATGAATATTTCGAGGTCTTTTGGATTCATTTCAACTTGTGGCTGAGAATGGTGAATCCTATTAAGGACAATTACTTTTTGCAGCAGTTTAGTTTGCAACAGAGTCTGGGAGACTACACTGCAAGATGACTTGTTGACAGGTCAAAATTTTGACCTGTCAACGAGTGAATCTCGCATGGCATGGGCGCTTATTGAGCACTTATTGCACAATGTAGCCTGAATCATTACAAGCCTTCAAAGTACACATCAGTAACAAATGATACAAGCATACTATACCCTCCTGAAAGCCCTTCATTCAGAGAATATATAATGTGAATGCTATGCATATACAATGGCTAGCAAAGCCACAAATGCAAAACGAAAAAACTCCCATGTGCCTCTGCATCTACAAAGGTGGAGCCACATACCAGAAACAGCAGTAAGTAGATTGTAATGTACACTACTAGACACAAAGGTGCTTATAGGCATACAATTGCATTCTTAGAGATCATTTACCAGGCACAAAGGACTACAAGCATGTCGCTGTGTGCTGTTGAGTTCGGCTCCCTCCGTACAGGGTAAGGAGGAAGGGTAGATTTTTAGTCAAGGATGGGTAGTGGTATTAGGTGTATGTGACGAGTGTATCGTCGAGAAGACAAGTCTATACGAGAGTGAAATATAGAGAGTTCCTTCCGAGCCGTCTGCCCGAGTTGAGAGCCTCCGAGTCTGAGTCCTAGTCCGCGTCCGGGGGTGGGTCCTACGTGTCCTCTCCCGCTCCCTCCAACCCGCTACTTATCCTCCTTCAGCCGAGCTCACGTGCCCCTTCCTCCTTCCCTCCGGGTCTGCCCCCACTCTTCCCTCTCCTCCCGCTCACACCTTCTTTCCCATACCGATGGCGCAGCCCCCGAACCCCACCACTTCGTCGCACTCCGCTCGCTACCTCTGTCTAATCGAGGTTCTCCGGTGCAAAGGAACGTTCGAGCCCCGATTCGACGTGGAGCACGCCACTGCCTGGCTTGCCTGGGCCCATGGTGCTCGCTGGCTCGTGGTTCGTCACCTTCCATCGTTCTCCTCGTCCCTCCTGACCCGTCTGCCTTGCCCCAGCGGATGCTCTTCGAGTCCTACGCTCTAGCGACCGCTCACGGCGACACCCGCATCCCCCTTCCATCCGGTATCCCCGAGGTCTGCGAGCTTATTGAGCACCTGGACTGCGTGTTCCTCAACCTCCGCTCCGAGCAGAACGAGGCGCCGCTCCTATACGCGACCATCCCTTGGTCCCCGGACCAGCTTCAGAAGGAGCAAGCCGCTGCGGAAGAAGCCCGACCCCCTCCTCCTCCATCGTATAATGATCCTCCCCTCCGCCTCTCCTCCCTCCGCAGTTCGACCGACAACTGGGACCGCGTCCTTGCCGCGACGGACCGTTCCTTGGATGTCCTCCGCCTCGAGCTTGGCCACCTCCACCGCGGCCTGGCTGAGGCCCGGATCGACCAGCTGTCCGTGATGCGCGAAGTAGTCTCCATCTCGGGCCGTCTAGAGGACATATGTGACGCGCGAGACATCCCTCCCCCGTTGGAATTAATCCGTGACTGAACCCTTACGAGTAGCATCTTCCTCCGTCCGGTTTGTTCCCCCCCGGTACCCGTATGTCCTGGCATGTAACAGCTTGCGGAGTTCAATAGATCTGACTTGTGCCGCGTTTGAATCACCTCGTAAGGCGTCCCGTTCCAGTCCTGTTGCCGCGGCCCGATCCTTGTCTCCCAGCTAACGTCCCCGGCCTTCTCTGACTCTCCATCTTCCGGCGGTTCCGGCCTCAGCCGGTGGGCCCCGCCCACACCTGCCCCGACCTCAGATACTGACCATCCCCGGTCAGTCCCCTTCCTGCCCTTCTCCTAGCATGAACATCCCCTGATTCTCGCGTCCGTGCTGATGAACAAGGAGTGTGGTGGCTAGCCTGAGGCAAGGCTACAAAAGAATACTACAGGAGCACAAAGAGCACTGTAGTAAAGGAGGACTTACAACAGATCTCTTAAGAGCTGAGAGGGAAGACTCAGAGGCGTTAAGACGAGAGGAGAGACCGTTACATTCTAGGGCGTATCCAGCCCGGTATATATACACATGAGAGAGCCATCACATGATCGTACAGTAAGCGTAACAGCGTAGAGTCATAACGGAGCGATATGGTGCAATGAGCGAATACACAAGGATGAGGCAATATTGCACCATGAATGGAATGTCATGGAAAGGACTGGAACAGCGATGTGCTCAATGATGCAATACGATGCAATCAAGGAATGTGCTGGAACATGATGGAAAGCGGTGGAATGTTCCATCAGGGTCTAGATCTAATCATGTGCTACAGGTCTGGATCAAATCCGAAAAGAATGTACGTAATATGTAGCATAGTAGAACATAAGTCCATAACGGGTAAGGATAAGTCCTATCCCGTGTGATAACACCCAAAACAGTTGAAGTTCAACACTCCCACTTGTTCAAGATGCTACAAGCATGCCAGAAGACGACCTGAACTTCTCAATAGCTTTGAGAGGAACATTCTTGGTCAAACAGTCTGCAAGCTGGTCTTCGCTCGCGACAAAATAGATTTCAGTTTCACCACGCTCGTAGAATTCGCGTATATAGTGATATCTGATCTCTATGTGCTTGGTTCGGCGGTCCACAACAGGATTCACCGAAAGGAAGATACTTCCTTGGTTGTCTAGACATAGAGGAGTAGGACTTGACATGTTGTCTCCAAGCTCCTCGCCGAAATGACGAAGCCAAGCCATCTGACGACAAGTGTCTGAGGCGGCCTTGTATTCTGCTTCAGTAGAAGACAGAGAAACAGTCGGCTGACGTCTTGACGCCCAGGAAATGACACAATTGGCCATCATGAAGATGAAGCCGCTTGTCGAATGCCTATCGTCGCGGTCTTCGGCCCAATCTGAGTCTGAGTAGGCAATCAGACCAGAGTTACTGCCGCCATCATAACAGAGTGCAAAACGCTTCGTTCCTTGCAAGTAGCGCAGAACGTAGAAAGCTAAACGCATATGCTCCTTAGATGGGTTTGAAGAAAACTTGGCCAATCGCGTGACCGCAAAAGCGATGTCTGGCCTAGTACCTAGCATGGCGTACATGATACTGCCAATAATGCTCTGGTACTTCGTCCTAAACTCTTCGGTAGCAGTCTCAGTACTGCTCAGCAAGTTTGCGCCTGCTGGCAACGGTGTACGAGCTTCTTTGCAGTTGCTCATGCCAAAACGTTCTAGGACAGTCTCCAAATAGTCTTCCTGGTCCACGAAGAGCTTGCGTGTAGAACGCTCTCGACGTATTCTAAGACCTAGGAAACGTTGGACTGCTCCTAAATCCGTCATCTGGTATTCACGCGACAAGCGCTCTTTGACCGAGTCAATGAAGGGCTTAGAGTCGCCCAAGAGCAACAAGTCATCGACATATAGAATGACGATACAAGTGTGATCTCCAGATTCACGGGTATAAACGTATACACCTGCATCCGAATAGGTGCGCGTAAAACCAAGCCCTAGGAGAGACGTATGGATCTTAGCATTCCATTGGCGTGAAGCCTGCTTAAGTCCATAAATCGCCTTCAAGAGAAGACAAACGTGGTCCTCCTTGCCTGGTACAACCCAGCCTTCAGGTTGTTCCATGTAGATCTCCTCATCAAGATCACCATTGAGAAACGCCGTCTTGACGTCCATCAACTCAATCTCCCAATCCTCAAGGGCTGCGTGCGCGAGCAAGTATCGCACCGACTCAAATCGTGCAACCGGGGAGAAGGTCTCGTGGTAATCCTGACCCCAAACTTGGGTGAAACCCTTGGCTACTACACGAGCCTTATAACGACCATCATGCTTGATCGTATAAACCCAACGATTCTTAATGACCTTTCTGTTCTTAGGTCGCGGAACCAGAATCCATGTCTTGTTCTCGATCAGAGAGTCGTACTCAGACTTCTCCGCACCGTGCCATTTATGTTTGTCAGGAGACTTCATGGCTTCAGAATGACTCTGAGGTACACCATGGTTTGCTTCCGCAACAGCGCGCGCCATCATCAAAACTTCTGCTTCATGACGCTGATTCCCTTGGGTATCTGTGCGTTGATCGATTGAAGCTGGAGGTTCATCTCCGTAAAGGTTGTCTCTGTTCCTAGCGGGATTTCTCCCAGCACCATCTCTCCGAGGCCTTTGATACTGAGGCTGAGGAGGAGGAACAGGATCAGGACGCGGCTGCTCAGGCGGATTTACTCCCACTGGCTCAGGTTGATCTTCTGGTTCTTCAGGTTCGTCGTCTGCGGGTACAGGTACAGGTAGAGGTTTGTCTACATCCTCCGGTTCCAAATCCGAAGGATCAAACTGCGGCGGACCCAGGGACTTCGGGTCATGGCCTAAATCTTTCCGTGCCGGAAACGTCTCTTCATCGAAGGTCACATCACGAGACACAACGATCCCTCGAGTGGCTGGGTTCCAAAAACGATAGCCCTTTGAACCCTGCTCATAGCCAACAAAGATCATCTCGACTGCCTTCTTGTCGAGCTTCCCAGATCTCTGTTCTTTCGGCACATGCACAAACGCCTTGCACCCAAAAACTCTAAAGTAGGAAATATCCGGGATTGTGCCGTCCCAGAGAGTAATGGGGCATTGCCACTTCAAGCAGCGCATAGGCTGGCGATTATAAATATGAACCGCGGTGTCGACTGCCAATTGCCAAAAACCATGACTTAGTCCAGCTTGATGTAGCATAGACATAGCCTTCTCAACGATGGTGCGATTCCAACGTTCAGCTCTCCCATTTTGCTGAGGTGAGCCGGCAACCGTCTTCTGGTGTTCAATACCATATGACTTAAGATGAGCCGTGAAAGCGTCAGAAGTGTATTCCCCCCCACGATCCGAGCGTACTACTTTAATCTTTTCCTTGGTAACATTCTCAGCCCATGCCCTGAAATCCTCAAACGCTCGGAGCGATTCAGACTTCTGTTTAAGATAATAGGCACGTCCAAGACTGCTATAGTCGTCCAAGAAAGATATGAAGTATTTGAAACCATTCGGCACAGAGGCCGTACGCATAGGACCATCTTCATCGGTGTGCACAAGTTCAAGAGGCCTGGAAGCTCTCTTGTCCGATGGAGGGAACGGGGCACGATGTGATTTACCCCACTGACAGCCTTCGCACGGAGACTTGTCCTCGTCTCCGATTGAATCAACACCTTTTGTATGGCTAGGCAGTTTCTCAAGAGCTTCCTTAGAAGGATGCCCTAAACGTCGATGCCAGAGTTTCCAATCTGACGATGAAACAGTCCTTGCGGACTTGCGGCTCAAAATCTCCAAGAACAGCAGATACAAATTGTTCACCGGCATATAGTCCGCCTGCAAGATGGCATTGCCGATGTTCTGCGTCTTTTGCCCATGTTCAAACTTGCGGTCATAGATGACCATCCGTCCTGATCCTTGAACCAAACAATAATTCGTCCTCTCAATACATCCGGTTGAAAACAAACGACCGGACGCATACGGAATATAGGCGATGTTCGTAATCGTCGTTGGAACTCGCCTTCCGTTAACCAAACAAACTCCCTTAATGGTACCTTCTCCAAGTGCTTTTATGGTAGCAGCTCCGGCCGTCTTAAAAACGATAGGGACACGATACTCGTGGTAGTCCCAGAAATCAGACAGATCATTTGTGATCGTCATAGACGCACCAGAATCCATTATCCAGTCAGTCATCTTTCCCTCAGTCTCAGCGGAGTGATCCGCAACATAGAAAGAAGAAGTCAATTGAGCGGAGCCCGCAGAGCTCGCATCTACTTGTACAACATTCGACGACTGTCCAGAAGAAGCACCATCCGACGTAGATACCGTATGCGAAGAATGTCCATTCGAGTCCGATTTACCCTTGCCCTTGCCTTTGCCTTTGCCCTTTCCCCCCGACTTATTGCCCTTGGGGCGCAGATGAGGGTACTTGGTCCAACAGTTCTCCTCGCCGTGAGGACCTCCACAAGTCGGACAGGGAACCTTCGACTTCCGCTTAATCTGCGAAGATTTAGACGCGGACTGTCCCATGCCGGACCGTCGAAGAGATTCCTCGGCCAAGATCTTGTTGACAACCGTCTCGATCTTCAGATCAGTCAACTTCGTGGTCGCCATGAGCGCAGAGACCATGGTCTGGTAGGTCTCCGGCACCTTGGACAGGAGAATCAGAGCCTGCGTCGACTCGTCAAGCTTGATCCCTCCAGCAACGACTTCCTTCAGACGAGTAACAATTTTGTTCGTCTGGTCGTGAAGGGGCTTAGAGTCCGACATCTCAGGCGACTTGATGAGCGAGCAAAACAGCGACCAGGAATAGGCCGCATCCGGAGTACCAAACGCCGTTTTAAGGGCGTCCCACATCTCCTTTGCAGTCTTCAGGGTTTCCCCATCTTCCTTCAGGAGGTGGTGATGAATGTTCCTCTCCGTGCGCATCAGGAGTACACCTTGAGCGCGGGAGTTCATCTTGCCATAATTAGCATCCGTGGTGGTACCCGGAGCAATAGCAGGCCAGGCTTCTATAAACGTGAGGTAGCCGCGCATGGCAGCCGACCAATTAGCGTACTGAGACGCTTGGGCAAGCACAGGAATAGCGTCGGGCTTGACGTCTCCCATGGTGGTCGTCAGAAGAATAAACTCGTTAAATTCTTCGGACTCAAAAACGATTGGCTCTAGAGGAGCCTCAAACGAAACTTCAGAGAGGGGAGTGAGAGGAGAGTAAACGGTGCTGCTTGGCGACGGTAGCCTTGCAACGTGTTCAGGACCAGGAGGAGAAGATGCCTCCGAAAACGAGTTAGCGAATATAAAATCTTCCTGCCAGGAAGCAACCGGTATGCCACCCCAAGTGTTACCTGGCGGTGTGTAATCAGGAACGTCGTAACGATGAGGACAGTGGTTTTCGTCGCAAGCGTTCGACTCAGCTTCCTCAGGACGATAGTGATAGTCGTAGACTTCCTGATAATCGAATAGATGATGATGACCGGTACAATCGTAGGGTGTTTCACCACTACTATGTTCGCTGATGTCCGAGTGATGCTCAGACGAAGCCACAATGTGATGCTTAACAAACTAATATTCCAGGTATATAAACGTATTGGTACGCCGACCAAAGTTCTACAAAACGATCCAGTCCAGATATCCGCCGTCAGAGACTAGCGTAAGCTCCCTGGCTACCTTGCGGTACCTACGAGCGAGCGACTCTGTATCCGTCGAAAACTCGACGCGCCCAACCTGCTTGCAAGCCCACGAAATTCTCTCGCGCTGCTCCTTCGACCAGGTAGAGACCTTGTCGATGTTGTCGTCGACCCAATTGAGTTGGTCGGCGAGACGATGAAGAGCCTTCTGAGAATCGCCGTCGAGACGATCGAAGAGGTGTTTCTTGTCGAAGATCGCTTGGAAACGATCGGCGGTGGCGTGTACCTTCTTGAGAAGGATACCCTTGGCGTCTTCAGCGGACTTTCGCTTGAAGTCAGGGAGAGGACGAGGCGCAGAGAGACGTTCAGCCAAAGGCTTAGGTGCAGAGGTGGAGGTAGAGGTGGGGCGAACTGGGAGCGGATGGGACTGGGATCAAGAAAACGTTAGATCCGAAGATCAGAGGTAGATAGTGTCGGCGTCGGACCAACCTTTCTCTCAGGTTTGGCCGGAGGATAAACTTTAAAATCGCTCTTTCGAGCTACCCTGGAGAGACGCTCTGACAAGGCCTTGGGCACTGTGTCCTTGAGACGTCAAACTCAGTCCAAAAGGACAGCAAACGGTGCCTAACTTACTCCTTGAAGAAGTAGGACTTTAAACAACAGTAGTGCGCACTGTACAGGGAGCTGGTCAGTGACCAGGGCTCATAACCTGATGAACAAGGAGTGTGGTGGCTAGCCTGAGGCAAGGCTACAAAAGAATACTACAGGAGCACAAAGAGCACTGTAGTAAAGGAGGACTTACAACAGATCTCTTAAGAGCTGAGAGGGAAGACTCAGAGGCGTTAAGACGAGAGGAGAGACCGTTACATTCTAGGGCGTATCCAGCCCGGTATATATACACATGAGAGAGCCATCACATGATCGTACAGTAAGCGTAACAGCGTAGAGTCATAACGGAGCGATATGGTGCAATGAGCGAATACACAAGGATGAGGCAATATTGCACCATGAATGGAATGTCATGGAAAGGACTGGAACAGCGATGTGCTCAATGATGCAATACGATGCAATCAAGGAATGTGCTGGAACATGATGGAAAGCGGTGGAATGTTCCATCAGGGTCTAGATCTAATCATGTGCTACAGGTCTGGATCAAATCCGAAAAGAATGTACGTAATATGTAGCATAGTAGAACATAAGTCCATAACGGGTAAGGATAAGTCCTATCCCGTGTGATAACACCCAAAACAGTTGAAGTTCAACACGTGCTGCCCCTCCCGTCGCTATTCCTGGCCGGCGCTAACGCAATGTTCCTCCCCGCTGCCTGTAGCCACCGCTCCTCGGCCGCCCTCGGTCAGCGTCTGTTCGATCCTCGTGCCTTGGCCTCCCTCCGTCCTCCCTTATCTTCTCCTCGCTGACGCTCTCTTCCCTCCGTCACCTCACCCACCATGTCCACCCCTCCGCACCTCGACGCCACTGCTGCCGTGGACCTCTCCGCCGTCCTCGTCCGCCTCGTCTCCGCGTTTGAGGTGTATATGGCCGAGGAGATACAAATCTGTCCGCCCCAGTTTCCCAATACCAACACAATGTATTGCTGGGCGTCGTGGGCCCGCGCCCTCGTGATTGACTTCGTACGTCCCTTCCCGTGGCTGGCCTCCTCCCATTGACCTCCTTCCCTCCGTTCAGTATGGCTACATCGCGAACCACCATCTAGCGGTGCAGTTCCACCATCCCCCGGCTGAGTTTGACATCCAGCCCGTTCTCGTCTGGCTTTCGATGTCGATGTACCACCTCTCCGGAAATGACCGTGTCCCCGCCTCCCTCCGACCCCTCCTTGCCAATCTTGAGGCCGACCTTCGCCGCCCAGCGCAGATCCATCCCAGTGGCTGGTACGTTGTCTGGGGGTCGAACCAGTTGTCGTTCCCTCTCGCCGTCCCTCTCCTCCCTCCTTTCCCTCCTTTCCCCTTTTATCCCATCGTGTTTGACCGCAATGCACCCCCTCGTCGTTTTGTGCCCCGACCATTGGAGGAGTACCGGCGGGCTAATCTGCGTGGAGAGGCGGCAACCCCGAACCTGGCCACCATGTCTCTTCCTTCCGCCGCCCTGAGCCCCGCGGCTCAGCCCCCGGAAGGAGTCTTCGTCCCATCCTTCTTTCCTCCTGGGCCTTTCCGTCTAGACGGCAGCTTCTCCCCTCGGCACGCCTCGCAGCCTCCTCCTCCGCCCGCACAATCCTCTCCCGGTCCTTCTGTGCGTCCACCGTCCAGCCCCAACCATTTCGTTCGTGACACCGGCCTCCTCGACCCCGTCCCGCGCGTTCCCTCCGCTGGTTCGGTGGTCGCCCCCCAGCCTTCGCCTACTGGCCCTCCGTCGGCTGCTCCGCGCCTCGCCCCTTCGCGATCCTTGCCCGCGCCATCCGCCCCAGGTCCCATCGTCCCCACTACGGGCCTCGTCGACTCTGTCCCTCGGGCCCCAGCGGCGGCTTCTCGTGCACCCCCCGCCAGCTCTCGCCCCGCGCCCATCATCCAAGCTCCTGGGCTGCGGTTGTATGGGGTCTCTCAGCCACCCCCTGCCGTTGCCCCTAGCGCTTCGACCCCGGGTCCCTCCGCTGCGGTTGCTGCCTCCTCGTCGCGTCCCTCCGGCCCTGCTGCCTCCTCCGGTCCGGCTGCAGGTTCCTCCGATCCAGTGCCCCCGGCCCCCTCTGGTCAGACGGCGGTGTCTCGAACTCGCTACGGCTTGTTCGTATACGCCCCTAGCCAGGCTTGCAGCAGGTGCACTGCGCAGAGGCCTCCAGGAGTGTGTCGCGCGGATGGCCATTCGCAGCACTCATGCGCTGGGTACGTGAAGGCCAAGGTGGGCTGTTCGCTCCGAGGTGTCCGTAAGTCTTTCCCTTCCGGTACTCGTCCCGTCCTTTCCTTCTGATGACTTCCTTCTCCTTTTAGCTACAGCGCGGCTCGGGCTTCGATATATCGGCCCCCACCCCTTGCAGACCAGGCGCTCGGTAGCCGGTTCCCTCCAGTTCCTTCCCGACCCGCCGGTCGCAAACGCACCCGCCGACTTACTCGGGGCTTTCCCGTCATCTTCTAGGGCGGCGAACCCGTCGTCTTCAAGGGCGGCGAACCCTTCGTCTTCCAGCGGGGCCGGTCCTTTGTTGTCGGTGTTGCCGCGGAAATCGACACCGCTGTTCTTCGACAGCCCGGGTAGTACTCCCCCACCCTCCGTCCCTCCGAACGTGGCCATGCGCTCCGCCGCGCTTGCCTCCGGTGTGACTCATGCCGTGCAGTTGCCTGATCGTTCCCGGTCGGCACGCCGTTCTCGCCCACCCATGTCACCCTCCACGACTCCGTCTGTGGGCGACGAAAACAAAGTCGAGAGCGAGGACGAGAGCGAGGACGAGCGTGATGAGCTGGACGACGACGAGGAGGAAGTTGCTGACTTGGTGGGTCAGGTACGCTCCTGGGAGGCGAGCTTGCCGTAAGTGCCTGGACTTGTTGTGTTGCTTGTACGATCCGACGCGTGTGCCTCTCTCTCTGTATTAGAATATTCGAGTTAACACATTGCCTTCTCTCCTTCTGCGTGCGTCGTGCTCGTATCGCTTGCCATGAGACGGCCCCATCGTGACGCCATTGCCTGATCGCTCAGTTCTGGGCCTAGGCACCTGCCCCGACCCACAAAATACTGACCGTCCCCGGTCAGTTGTTCCCTCCGGGGCTATTGCGCGGCATCCCGATGGCTGATCGGTCCGGATGGTCACCTTCCCAGTCGAGCTTCCTTCCGCCGCCTTCCGCTGCTATTCACAGCCGGCGCCTGTGCGATCCTCGTGCCCTCTCACCCTCCGGCCTCTGTCCACTCGCTGCACTCGATCCCTCCTTGTGTCCGCTCCCTCCTCCTCCGACTCTTCGCCATGTCTCAGGCCACGTTCAATTTCGAGCGCGAACTAGACGTTCAGACTGCTCTGGACGTCTCGCAGGTACTATCACGGCTCCACGGGTCATTCAGCGAAGACGTCGCGAATGAAGTGTTCATCGTGATTCCCCCGGGCGGCGTCCCTTCCCTTTGGCTCCCTGACCTCGCCGTGCTCGCGCATTGGATGGCTTGGGCTCGGACCGCCGTATTCCACTTGGTACGTCCCGGCCTCTCGCCCCTCCGCGGTTCGTTCCGTGCCTTGACTCTACCCTCCTTGCCCAGAACGCCTTCGTCGCGAACCTCCTCATTGCAATGCAGTTTGGGTACCCTCCGATGCCGCTCCCTCCTCAGCACGAAGAGGTGATCGCCCGCACCCGTAGCAACGCGTTCAATGTCGGTAGGTGCCAACACCTTGCCCCCGAGCTGGTGCAACTCGAGATACGACGCCTCATCGCTGACTTCCGGGTGTACCCCGATGTACATGAAACTGGATGTTTCATCCTCTGGGGGTCCTCGCGTATCCCTCTCGCCGTCCCCCTCCGTCCCCCCTTCCCTTATCTCCCATTTACGCCCCTTCTTTCTGGTCGCCAGCCCCCAGACGACAGGCCCCCTTCTCCCTTAGCGTGTCCACCTTCCCGCGCCTTCTTCCGGGCTGTCCCTCCAAACGCGCACATTCCTTTCCCCCTGGTCGCCCCCCCGTCTTCGTACGCTCCTTTTCGTCCTGATGGCACGATAGACCCCCTTGCCTTCACCCCTCCTGCTCTGCCCACTGCTGGTTCGTCCGTCACGCCTCCTCGGTCCCGCCTTCAGTACAACTCCCCGACTTCCTCCGATCATTCCTCTGGGATCGCCAGCCCAATGAGGGGACTCTCCGACGACGAGCTAGCTCGGTTCTACGCCCCTTCGTCCCCCTCCCCGGCCAACTCCCCATCCGTCGGAGGCCGCTCTCCCACTGTCGAGTACTCCTCCGGACCTGATGATCCGCCCCTTTCTCCTCCTCGTCAACCCCGCGTGATCGGCCCAACCTCTGGTCCGCCCGCCACGACCGACGCGAACGGAAACCGTATCTTCATGCCGCCCTGCGCCCGTTCTGGCCCATCTCGCCCGGTAGCACCGTCCGGCCCCTCGCTTGTGAGTACCCCTCTGGTTCCCTCCGTGGCCCCTAGGCCCTCGGGCCCCTCCGTGCCTCCGCGCCCGACCGTGCCTGCCGCTACCGTTCCCACAGCGTCGACGGTTTACACCGATCCTGCGCCACCACTCCCCTCCGGTGCCTCCGGAGCCTCGCGCTCCCGGTACGGATTGTTCGTGTATGCACCACAGACGCCGTGCGAGAGATGCGCCGCACTGTCTCCTCGTGGGCTCTGCCGAGTCGACGGCAACCCCGACCACGCGTGCGTGTACTGCGCGAAGAAGAAGACGAGGTGCAGTATCCGCCACACCCGTGAGTCACCCTGTTTCACCACCACGCCCCTCCATGTTCTGGCCACTGACTTCCCGCCTAGCCGTCCGGTCCTTAAGGCTTTGGTACGTCGGTCCTCACCCTTCCCAGACCCGGGACGACGCCTTGCTGTACTCGGCTTCGTTCCGTCCCGACCCTCCCGTCGCGGGTACCCCTCCGGACCTGCTACAGGCATTCCCTCGCTCCGGAGAAGGCGTGACTCCGTCCTCCGCCGCCCCGAGCGCACTTGCCATACCCGTTCCCACCGCCCCTCCGAGTGTCCGCCTCCGCTCAGCTGCCCTGGCTTCTAGCGCGACGCATGCCCAGCACCTCGCTGTCCATGCGAGTTTGCTACGCGATTGGCCGCCATCGAGGACTCCTTCCGACCCAGCCGACTTCTGGTTCGAACCGCCAGACAACGAGGACGAAGAAGACGGGGGTAGTGGCGGGCCAGGAGAGGACGAAGAGGAAGGAGAGGTTTTCAATCTCATTACCTCGATACGGGGAATGCACGCCTCATCCCCTGCGCCCCAGTAGGTACTCGGTGTGTGTTTCCAGACAGTCTCCTCCGCGCGTGTACGATAGATCCTAGATAGGCCGTGAATATGCCATCCCTGCTTTTGTTGCACCCTCCGCGCGTGCTTCGGTTAGCTGGTTTCTTGATCCTGCAGGCCCGCGCGTTTATGCACCCTCCGGAGTCATGCCTCGTGCTTGCCATTGATATGCTGCCCATCCGCATATAAATTAAGGGTCCCTGCACTTGCTGATTCCCCGCCGATGTCCACAAGGACCTGATGGTGAGCTCCCCTCCGGTGCATCCTTGGTGAAGCTAACAGCCGCCTTCCTCCAGTCTGCTCCGTCCACCGTTGAGGAATCCCCGCTGTCGTCGTGCACCCACTGCTCTTCCGCCGATGCTCATCCCCCTGGGATCTGTGCCCCCTCCGCACCCGTCGGCGTCCTTCCCCCAGTCGTGATACCCATGCAGGATAGGGTCGATGTCCTCGAAGCCCGAGCAACGTCGCAGGCTAGCGAGTTGACCTCCCTCCGACACAGTGTCAATGCCCTTACCGCGATCATGCCTGGCCCATGCCCGTCCCCCTCCGAGATGCATCGTACCACAGCAGCCCTTTCCGAACGGATCGAACATTTGTCGGAGTTCGCGCACTTCGTGGATCGTGCTTCGCGCGCTCGAGTCTGTGAGGCCAACGACAACTTCGCTTTCATGCTGATTCGTGTCGACACCCTCACCGAAGACCTGGCTCGGGTTTCCTCCATCATGCAGGACCTGTCTCGCACCGCCTCCGACCCCACCGTCGTAGACTCCCTTGCCACCGTTGAACGCTCCATGCACTCCATCCTCCAGATCCTAGGGCGTTTGTCGGGGTCGTCCACTCCGAACCCTCGTTCCGAACCCGCTCCCTCCCGTGGTCGATCTCGGCGCAACCACCGTTCCCGCGGTCGCGGGCGCGGAGGGCCTCCTGGCGTGCATTTCAACTTTGGGCTCGGTCCCAACTAACCCTTCCCTTCCTTCCGCCCCTCGTTCCCTCCTCGGATTCTACTTCTCCTCCCTCCTCCTTCCCCTTTCTTCCGTCCGAGGCTTCATTCTTCATCCCCGTCCACTTCCCCGTCCTCCCCGTCGAACCGGTCTCCGTAATGTTTGTTCTCATCAGGTAAGTACTCTGTTGAACTAGGAAGGCGCCTACCGGGCTGCCGGGTTCAATCACAGGCCGGACCGGTTCTATGGGAAGCTCCGGGTCCGTGATGTCATCTATGATGTCATCTGTGTGTTATCACATGGCTACGCCACTTACCTTGTATGTCGTGGGAACGTACTATACAGTAGCTTAGATAAGCGGTCTCCTCATGTATATAAGGACCCCAGTAGCGTAGCTCAATCCCCAGTACCTTCAGTCGAAGTACTTGCGTGTGCATCAAGCATCAGCAACCTTGCAGGTAAGTTGTGAGGGCGCACCACTGCGTGGAGCTGCCTGCTCAACAGGTTATGAGCCCTGGTCACTGCCTGAGTACTGCGCCTCACTGGCTGCGTCTCAGTGTGCGCACCAGCTTATGTTATGGGAATATCTCCAAAATCCCAAGTCCGCCTTATATGCCTCAACTCACAAGCTATTGTTAGAATCTCCGCTATTGTCGGAAGGGTCCATTAGATAAGCACAATGGACTCCTAGACTATTGGTTGAGGACGCGCCTCGGCAATAACCGGTAATCTACGGAGTTTGCCGAAGTGCGCTTTAGGACTTCAATACCGAGGGTAGGAGGGATCGAGTCTCCGAAGTCTATTAACTACCAATAGAGGAATCGCCGAAGGATCACCGAGGACTATTGACCATCGGTAATGGGAACACCGAAGGATCCCCGAGGAAGGCAGGGTTGACACTTCGGACTTAGCTCGGTGAGGACTTAGGCTGTGGATTCTGACACGTCTCAAGTACAGTACGTAGGATAGCCTTGAACCGCTTATAGTACACAGGATTGAGGACTCGGAAATGTATATAAGACGAGACGAAAGACTGCGGCAATCTATCTACACTCTTTACCGAAATTCACCTTGTGTGCCACACGAAGACTTGCTTCGCCCCGAGTGCTAAGTTAGCCATACTAGCCACTCGACCACTCTCACTGAGTTCTTACCGACGCGCTCTAAGACCTGTGATTGTGAGACCTTACTTAGTACAGTCCTCGCGCTACTAGTAAGGTCTAAGTAACTTCAACTGACTACAAGAGTCGGGTTCATCGGAGAAGGTTCATCATACTGATCAACGTTCTAACATTGCTTCTCGGTAATCATTTATTACCGACAATTCGGTAACTGCTCTACTAGACTTAAGCATTACCGACGCTTCCTTCTGAGTTACCGAGTATTGAATACCTCGGTAATCTATTCATTTAAACATACAACTTCGTTACTATTCCTCTGTAACGAAGGAGACATCCTCTACTCTATTGCTCGACTTCAAGTAACTGGTTACCTTGAAGTAAGTATTATACTAATCCTAACCCAGACTCCAACAGCTTACCTGTGGCTTCGCCTTAGTGGCTTGAAGCCAGGGGGGGACTATGCGCGGACATCGCTGCAGGTCTTAGCGCAACTCTGTTGCTGCTATCCCCAGCACATGCACCACAGCGGTGGTTGCGCCTCTAAGGCTGCACTCGTCATTGAGTAGAGGGCTGATGACATTGTTGTCAGTATTCCCCATTTACCGAGTTTATCACTTCAAACCCTCTACCAATGGCCTCCAACACCCTCTTCACCGCTGTCCCCGTCTTTGACGGCTCCAACTACCGCGCCTGGGCTGAATCCATGTCGGCCTTCCTCATGGCGCAGGAGGTCTGGATCATTGTCAATTCGACCTGGCCCCAGCCTACTCTGGACACAGAGAATCCCTCAGTCTACTACGAGTGGCTGCAGCGCGATCAGAAGGCACAGGGGTCGATCCGTCTTCGCCTGACGTCGTCCGTCAAGGCGGCTGTCAAGAACAAGACGACCAGCAAGGCCCTCTGGGACGAGCTGAAGGCGCTCTATGACAAGCAGACCCCCGCCGGTGTTTACAAGGAGTTTAGGACAGCGATCAATGCTCGGATCCCTCCAAACGAGCACCCGAACCCGACGTTCGCTAACATCGCAGCTGCGTTTGACAAACTTGCGGGCGAAGGGATCAACATCCCCGCTCCACTGCGGGCGATGATAGCGCTTAATGCGCTGCCCTCCCGGTACGACACTGTCGTCACCACGATCCTCCAAGCCAAAGAGCTTACGGAGATGAAGATCGACTACGTCCGGGAGTCTGTCGTCATTGCCTACGAGCAAGGCGGCAAGCAGGCGTCATCTTCGCAGAGCGCGAAGAAGATCTCCGCCGTTAAGCGTAAGCACGGCGAACCAAACTTCAACCAGCAGCAGCAGCGCCAGGATGGCAGCAGCAGCAGCGGTGCGAAGGAAGGTCAAGGCAAGGGCAAAGGCAAGCAGCGCGGTAAACGCAGCGGCAAGCAAGTTAAGTCCCGCGCCAACCAGGGAGATCATACGGACCATGCGCATCTCGCCTCGCAGGCGTCGATAGCGGGTCCTACCACCTCCAAAGTCGTCGAGATAGCGCCTTCGGGCAGCAAGTCTCACACCGTCACCACCCGTCCCGCCAAAACCGGCCACAGCAAGAATGCTCACCGGTGGCTCAAGAGTGCCCTCGAGCTCGCCAAAGACATCGACATCTCTGGCACCTCACAGCGTCTCACGACGTTGTCTGAGGTCGTTGACAATTCCGCTCGGATTGAGGAGTACCTCTCCGACTCGGAGTCAGAGTCTCGGGCGTCCAAACGCTCTCGTCATGGTTCTGAAGTAGGCCATGCGATCGACGCGATCATGGACGGGACGTACAACTCGTACGACGAGGACGAAGGTCCTACGACTCAGGATCCACTTGATTGGGGATCAGACGGTCAGTACGACATCGACGACGAGCTGGCTAACGCCGCCGGCTTAGGGGAGGACTTTGATGCTGGGTCAGTCCCTTCAGCTTCTATTCCCAAGCGACCTACTAACCCTGCGCTTCATACAGCCGCATGTAGTAGTAGACGCACTAGGTCTACTTTAAAGAGACGTAGTATTCGCAGTCGTAGTTGCAGTGTAACGAATGAATATATCAGTAGTTCGTTACACAAATCAGTTGGTTGTCGGCATTCGCGCGATTTCGCTGCGTGCACCAAATGTAAGGGAAAAGCTAAGGCTTGGCATGAACCAGAGCCGGTTGAGTCGTCAGACTCCTGGATGTTGGACTCTGGAGCATCATTACATTTTTCCAACAATTTAGATGATTTTGCTGAGATTGAGGACCTCAGTGAGCCAATCGTCTTGTCGACCGCAAACGGCTCTGCCGTATGCACAAAGCGTGGGACAGTCTTCTTGAACTTCGAGAATGACGATGGTAGTCATACGACGACCAGATTATTCCCCGTTTATTACTTCCAAGGTCTTCATCAACGTCTCCTATCCATGGGAACGTTCCTCCGTGAAGGAATGACAGTGCGCGGTGGTGCGCAGCACGTCGACCTCTATGAACAAGGAGCGCGTGAACCACTATATGTGTTCAAGCCGCGGCACCCTAGTTCAACGATATTCGAAATACAGTCCTTGCCTTCACAGGACGCAATGAGTATCCATCAGACAGTTTATTCTGTCGATTACCACACTATGCATCGCCGCCTAGGACATCCTTCTAAGGACGTACTACGGCAAGCACAGAAACACACCGAGGGTTTCCCACCTTCGATAGAGTTCCCTAGGGAGGATCCTATATGCCCAGGATGCGCGGAAGGGAAAATGCATAACAAAGCATTCCCGCCATCTACGTTGAGAGCGACAGAGCCCTTCGAGCTCATTCACTCTGATGTGAAGTCGTTTCCCATCGACTCCTACCATAAGTATAGGTACTACATCCTGTACTATGACGACTACACTTCCAATGCGTGGACAGTGAATCTGCGCAACAAGAGTGCTGCGATCACGGCCACGCGCCAATTCTTAGCCA